TTTGCACTTGTCGTCCGTCCGTATGCCTGTCCGTCCGTACGTACAAACCAGAGCTACATTATGGGGTTTGTTCATGGGGTCATTATACCCCCACCACAAAATGTGGGGGGGCTATAATGGATTCGCTTTGTCGCGTCGGTCGGTCCGTCCGTCTCTCATTTCGTGTCCGCTCTATAACTCCTATACCAATTGAAGGATTTTCTTCAAACTTGGCTCAAATGTTCATCTCAACAAGGGGATGTGCATAACCCATGTTGCCCATGTGTCAGCTCAAGGTCAAGGTCACAATTGAAGGTCAAATATCAAACACTATCAAATATTACACAGTATGTCGTGTCCGCTCTGTAAGTCCTACACTACTTGAAAGATTTTCTTCAAACTTGGCTCAAATGTTCACCTCAACCAGGGGATGTGCAGAACCCATGTCGCCCATGTGTCAGCTCAAGGTCAAGGTCACAATTGAAGGTCAATTATCAAACAATTAAATATTACACAGTATGTCGTGTCCGCTTTGTAAGTCCTACACTACTTGAAAGATTTTCTTCAAACTTGGCTCAAATATTCCCCTCAACAAGGGGATGTGCAGAACCCATGTTGCCCATGTGTCAGCTCAAGGTCAAGGTCACAATTGAAGGTCAAATATCAAATGATTAAATATTACACAGTATGTCGTGTCCGCTTTGTAAGTCCTACACTACTTGAAAGATTTTCTTTAAACTTGGCTCAAATGTTAACCTCAACAAGGGGATGTGCCGAACCCATGTTGCCCATGTGCCAGCTCAAGGTCAAGGTCATAATTGAAGGTCAAATATCAAACAATCAAATATTACACAGTATGTTGTGTCCGCTTTGTAAGTCCTACACTAATTGAAAGATTTTCTTCAAACTTGGCTCAAATATTCCCTTCAACAAGGGGATGTGCAGAACCCATGTTGCCCATGTGTCAGCTCAAGGTCAAGGTCACAATTGAAGGTCAAATATCAAACAATCTAATATTACACATTATGTCATGTCTGCTCTGTAAGTCCAACACTACTTGAAAGATCTTGGCTCAAATGTTCATCTCAACAAGGGGATGTGCAGAACTTATGTCACTCTTTTGCTGGCTTAAGGTCAAGGTCACACTTGAAGGTCAAAACTTGACTTAGAAAAAATTCTTAAATTTTAACATTTATTTGAATATTCTAAATATAGAAAAGGTATTTGCTTGATACTTAAAATATTTTTGAAGGGTCACAAATATGATATGCTGTTCAAGTTTCATAACTCTGTATTGCATTTAAACAAAGTTATGCCCCTTTTTAAGAATTCAAATTTACATACAATCAAATATTAGACAATATGTTGTGTCCGCTCTATAAATCCTATACCAATGGAAGAATTATCTTCAAACTTTACTCAAATGTTCACCTCAACAAGGTTATGTGCAGAATCCATGTCACCTTTGTACCGGCTAAAGGTCAAGGCCACACTTGAAGGTCAAAAATTGACTTAGAAAATGTTCTTAAATTTTAACATGTACTTGAATAATTCTGAAACTAGCTCAGGCATTTGCTTGAAACTTAAAAGATATATGAGATGTGGCAAATAAGATATGCAGGTCAAGTTTCATTACTCTGTATTGCATTTTGACAAAGTTATCCCCTTTTTAAGTCTTCAAATTTACATACAACCAATACTAGACAATATATTGTGTCTACTCTATAAATTCTATACCATCATTCAAACTTTACTCAAATGTTCACCCAAACTGGGCGATGTGCAAAACCCATCTTACCCTTGTGCCAGATTAAGGTCAAGGCCACGCTTGAAGGTCAAAAATTGACTTATAAATAAAATGTTTAATGCATTGGGAATATGAAAGGTTATTTGTAACTGTTTCGAACAGTTTTGATAATATATATTTATACTATTACCTGTACAATTAGTCTTTTTTTCACCAGAGATAATTTCTTTTTATGTATTTGTGCCACATAAATTATTCCCTTAACCACCTTTCCAAGTGGTCTTCTGTCAAGGACATTGGTGGGGGTATGAATCGCATTCAGCGATAGTTCTAGTTCATTCCGTTTCTCTTGTGGGGTTATTTTCTGCATTGTGGGGTTAAAGAGAACAAAAGAAATAACAAAAGAAAACCCCATAATGTAGCTCTGGTAAGAATGTCCTGCTGTCCGTACGTCCCGAAATCTTGTGAATGCAACTCCTTTTAAACCGGATGGCAGATTTTGCTTAAACTTACAGGGATGAACAACCTTAATGTGTAGATGGTAGTAAAGGAGGGAATTTTCGCTGCGACCAAATTGAACAGAATTATGGCCCTTTGTTGATTTTTTCACTATATACTATGTAGAAATTTTGTGAACGCAACTCCTCTTAAACCGGATGGCAGATTTTGCTTAAACTTCCAGGAATGAACAACATTAATGTGTAGATGGTAGTAAAGAAGGAATTTTCGCTGTGACCAAATTTAACAGAATTATGGCCCGTTCTAGATTTTTTCACTATATACTTTGTAGAAATTTTGTGAACGCAACTCCTCTTAAACCGGATGACAGATTTTGCTTAAACTTCCAGGGATTAACAACCTTAATGTGTAGATGGTAGTAAAGGAAGGAATTTTTGCTGCGACCAAATTTTAACAGAATTATGGCCCTTTGTTGATTTTTATGCCCCCACAATGTGGGAGCATATAGCGTTGCACTTGTCCGTCCGTCCGTCAATCCGTCAGTCAGTCAGTCAGTCAGTCCGTCCGTCCGTACGTCCCGAAATCTTGTGAACGCAACTCCTCTTAAACCGGATGGCAGATTTTGCTCAAACTTACAGGGATGAACAACCTTAATGTGTAGATGGTAGTAAAGGAAGGAATTTTTGCTGTGACCAAATTTAACAGAATTATGGCCCTTTGTTGATTTTTTCACTAGATACTATGTAGAAATTTTGTGAACGCAACTCCTCTTAAACCTGTTGGCAGATTTTGCTTAAACTTACAGGGATGAACAACCTTAATGTGTGGATGGTAGTAAAGGAAGGAATTTTTGTTGCGACCAAATTTAACAGAATTATGGCCCTTTGTTGATTTTTTCATTATATACTATGTAGAAATTTTGTGAACGCAACTCCTCTTAAACCGGATGGCAGATTTTGCTTAAACTTACAGGGATGAACAACCTTAAGGTGTAGATGGTAGTAAAGGAAGGAATTTTTGCTGTGACCAAATTTTACAGAATTATGGCCCTTTGATGATTTTTTCACTATATACTTTGATGTAGAAATTTTGTGAATGCAACTTCTCTTAAATCGGATGGCAGATTTTGCTTAAACTTCCAGGGATTTACAACCTTAATGTGTAGATGGTAGTAAAGGAAGGAATTTTTGCTGCGACCAAATTTAACAGAATTATGGCCCTTTGTTGATTTTTAGTTTTCAACTTGTGGCACATGTAGTCCAAAAAATATTTGACCTAGAGTCATAAGTTTGACAGAACAGTGGCGTGTGGGAGAATCCGTGTCCTATGGACACATTTCTAGTTAGTTTTCAACTTGTGGCACATGTTGTCCAAAAAATATTTGACCTAGAGTCATGAGATTGACAGAATAGTGGCTTGTGGGGGCATCCGTGTCCTATGGACACATTTCTAGTTATTAGCTCACCTGACCACAAAGTGGTCAAGGTGAGGTATAGTGATGGGGCTATGTCCGGAGTCCGTCTTCGTGCGTCGTCACCATTTGGGTTGTTAACATTCTAGCAGTCATAGTTTTTAGCTCGACGATACAAAGTATATGGAGAGCTGTCCTACTCAACCTGGCGTAGGCGTCCGCGTTCGCGTTTAGATTTCAGATTAAAGTTTTGGTGCAGTAAAATATTTTTCACTATAAATTTGTCATTTCTTAAGGTATCAACTTCAAACTGCAAATATTTGTTCCTTATCATCAATTTCATCTTATGTGATAAAGTTCATAACTCTAGCACCAATATTTTTTAGATTTATCTCCCCTTGAACTTAGAATTTTCCTTAAAAAAATACTATTTTTATGCCCCCACAAAGTGATAGCGTTGCACTTGTCCGTCCATCCGTCTGTCCGTTTGTCCCAAAATCTTGTGAACGCAACTCCTCTTAAACCGGATGGCAGATTTTGCTTAAACTTCCAGGGATGTGTAACATAGCATTTCCTTGTCAAAATGCTTTTACAGTATCAATTATGAAAACATTTATTATTTCAATATCCAAAAATTAACTTTTACTTTTTTAACAATCATTAAAAGAATTTCATGTTGTATAAATATTTTGATATAAATTACTTTTAGATTCTCAACTGATAAATTTTACAACTTTAGTATAAACATGTCATAGTGGTCCATAAGGAAATTTATTTTATGATTTTCAGTGGATTACTGATTAATCCGTGAAAATTATATTTGATAATTTCACAGTGAAAATTATCAAAATATAATTTCACACTTTTCAATGACGAAACTACTTTTTAAAGATTTTCCCCATGTGGTACCTCAATTTTATTTTTGCTGACTATTCCGACAATGTCAGGCTGTTTAAAGAAAGGCAAAGCTGAAATTGATAAATAACTTATATGTCAAAAATGATAAAAAGAAGAAAACTTACAGTAAGTTACTTCTATTCATTCAAATTACCAATCACCAAATATCGTCTTTTCATTTTTACAGTCTGAAAAATACATTCCTTCCACATGCAAAACTGCTTTTGATGACATTTGGGAATATTTAAGTATCCTACGAGCAAAAACTGCCATATGCTTTATGAAAACTTGAAAAGCAATGGCAGCTTTCAGTCGAAAAATATGTAAACAACCCAGCGTTCGTAAGGCTTCGAAGTTTTCCAATTTCCTATCCACTTTTTTGAATGTTTACACATCTGTCAACACTTATTTATTGTCTGTTACAATCCTCAAATAAGTTGTCTTTCTTTTAAAAATGTGTATGACTAAGAAATCCAAATGATATCCCTCTGAATCAAACACAATTTCATCTCCCACATATTCCCCCAAGGAGCCCCACATAGAGAGATGACGCAGCTATCTGCTGGAACTTATCAGAACGAGGCTAAACGGCTGGGCTATCAGCACTAGAGAAAAATTCACAATTTATATCTTTAAAAAATCACAGTATTTAACGTAAAATCAATACTAATTCTTCACTTTTATAAAGAAAAGAAATATTTAGGATAACATTTCGGAGAATTTCAAACGGTAAGTGCCTAAATTTATCTTAGAATTTCCGATACTTATATTGTGTGGTTTCTATCAGAAACCCCATGCGATAATTAAATGTCGATAACAGACATGTATCAATAACATCGAACTCAAAGTACAATGCTTCAAAGCATTAACAAAAACATAAAATGTTTATTACCCTACTTCTTTTTGTTTGTATATATCATTCGGGTTTTTCCGAAATTGATAGTAAATTTAGATTTGCGAGAGAAGAACGAAACTGTCTTCCGGTCATAAAATGACGAATACGCAAATATTTCTAAACTGGATGAAAATTTTTACCGATTTTCCATGACATCTATTTCCATAAAATGGATAAATAAAACACCTTTCATAAAATGAATTATCGTCGCCGTAAAACGGCAAGATATCAGAAACAAGAAAATATTGTAAACAAATACAATGGCAGAGCTATAAATAGAATTTGCATAAAAAATTAGGTCATATGTAGAATTCGCCTTATATCGTTGTCGTCTTCTATGATAAAAGGTGTTAGGTAAAACCTTAGTTTAAACATGCTATTGTACGATATAAAATATCATCAACACTCTCTTGTTTAAGATTTGAAAAACACGTGGGTTTGGTTTTTTCAGAAAGATGGAAACACGAGGTTTGGGCGGAAATGACGCCGAACGGGAAAGTGCGCATGCGCACCCACCGGAAGACAAAATAGACAATGTGGTAAACAAACTGGATACACAGTTGTCGCGCTTTAGCGAAGCAACAAAAAACATCAAAACATTGGCAACAGCAGTTGCGGAAATGCGACAGGACATTAATGAATTGAAAAGAAGACCTTCTTCAATAGAAAAGGGGCCAACACCGGCCAAAAAACGCATAATTTCTCTGGGAGAGGATTATGAAAGATCGAACAATTCCGACCCTTCGCCGGCTACGGCAACGATTTGCACGGCAACAATACCTGTCGCGACAGATTCAGATTCAGACGGGGATGACGATGTTGATAGAGTTGATGGAGAAATGAACGATCCCTTAATGGACTATTTTAATGGAAATCAAAATGAAAATGCCAATGAAGATGACGAATTTGATCAATTAGAACAGTTTTTTCAGACTGTTGAAGAAACTGACGGGCCTGTTGAGAGCCAGCTTGCAAAAATAGCGGGACTAGCGCTGAGGGGGCGAAGCAATAAATTATCCACACAGGATGAGGAGGCCATCGAGACTTACAAAAAGAAATATAAAAGGCCGGAAAACATAGACTCACTACAAGTACCAAAACTAGACGATGTCATTTGGAGAGATGCCAAAAGTGGCATAAAATCTTATGATTTTATGCTACAGAAGACGACTTCTGCTCTGAACTTAGCACTGATACCAACAATTAGGGCATTAGAAAACATCAAGAAAAATGGTGACGTGCATCGCACTCAAGAGTTTGTTATGGACACTTTTAAAATTTTGTGTCTTCTTGTCAGGGAGACGACAGCAACAAGGGCAGCCCGTATCAAAAAATGGGTTCCACCACAATACAAGTCAGTTTGCGACCTACCTGCTAGTTCAAAGAATCTGTTTGGCGACAACCTGGAAGAGTCGATAAAGAAATTAGATGGACCAAAAATCAAGATGACTGCTTCTAGGATTCCTTTTTTAGGGAAAAGAGGGGGGAGGAACTACAGCAACAACAACAGATCATCAAACTACTCCCCCGGATACAGCAACAACACCAACTATCAACAACAAAGACGTGTATACAAACAAAATCAACCGCAACAGCATCAAAGACCAAAACAACACCAGAGGGGTGGGAAAAGAAACAATCAACAGCAGAAACATTAAATGATGTAGGTACTTTAAGTCTAAAAAATACACTTAACAATTTTCAAGCAGGCAAAACTAGACTGTTCATAAAAAACTGGCAAAACATAACTTCTGATAAATGGATTCTGAGGACTGTTTGTGGTTACAGTATTGAACTTGGCAAAAGACCAAAGCAACACTATGTTCCGAAACCTTTAAAATTTACTCCAGAGGAATGTCTAAAAATTCAAAAAGAATTAGATCGGTTCCTAGCTTGTAACATAGTTGAAAAAGTACACACATATAATAATAATGAATACATTTCAAATATTTTCTATAGACCAAAGAAAGATGGTAAAATTCGGGTTATTCTCAATTTAAAAGGGTTTAATGAAAAATTCATGGACAAAAAACATTTTAAAATGGAGACATTACATTCAGCAATTAATGCAATGAGACATAATTGTTTCTTTGGTTCAGTTGACTTGTCTGAAGCTTTTTATTCAATTCCAATTCTTAAATCAGATAGGAAGTACTTCAGGTTCTATTTTAATGGTCAAAAATATGAGTTTACTTCTCTTGTAATGGGATTAACAACATCTCCGAGGGTTTTCACTAAACTACTCAAACCAGTTTTTGCTAAGCTACGTGCACAAGGTCATATCAGTTCAGCATTCATTGATGATAGCTGTTTACAAGGTCAAAGTTACAGTAAATGTTTAGAAAACATCAATGAAACAGTAAAACTTATGGACTCGCTAGGATTTACTGTGCATCCAACAAAGTCTGTGTTAAAGCCAACACAAGTTATAGTATTTCTTGGTTTTATCCTTTGTTCTAAAACAATGACTGTTAGACTAACACATGACAGATGTACTGACATTATTCAGCTTTGTAAATCAATTTTGTCTATCAAAAGATGTACAATCAGGTATTTTTCTAAACTTATAGGAAAATTTGTAGCAGCTGAACCAGGTGTGGAATATGCTCCCTTATATTACAAACCATTAGAAAAAATTAGAGATACAGAATTACAAAAACATTTTGGGAATTTCGACAGTTTTATGAACATCCCAAAATCAATTTTACCTACACTTACCTGGTGGATCAATTCCTTGGAATTTTCATATAAACGCATTTCACATGGACAACCAAAGTTAATTCTTTATTCCGATGCTTCGAAAACAGGTTGGGGGGCCCATGATCAAACTAATGACATAAAAACAGGGGGACACTGGACGGTTGCAGAACAAACTGCACATATCAATATCCTAGAATTAAAAGCCTGTCAATTAGCATTGTTAACATTCTGCAAAAACATAACAAATTCACATATACGCATTTTCATGGACAACACGACAAGTTGTGCCTACATTAACAAACTTGGTGGTAAGAAAAAAGAGCTTGACAATTTAGCACGTGACATTTGGTTTTGGTGTATTAAAAGGGATATACATTTAAGTGCTGCTCATGTACCTGGTATAGAAAATTTTGAAGCAGACAAGCAATCTAGGAAGATAAATGATGATGGAGAATGGGCTATTGTTAGCAATCTGTTTGATGACATACTTTGTGTGTACCCAGATATGACTATAGACTTGTTTGCATCAAGACTTAATAACAAATTAAATACATACGTAACACGACGACCAGATCCTGGAGCATTTGCAATTGATGCTTTTTCTCTAACATGGAACACTGCAAATTATTATATTTTTCCTCCTTTCAGTCTAATAGACAGAGTTTTACAGAAAGTGCAGGAGGACAAGACCGAAGCAGTATTAGTAGCTCCTGTGTGGCCAACACAAAGTTGGTGGCCAAGTCTGCTGCACCTGATATGCGGACCCTGCTTCAAGCTCCCAAGAGTTTCAGAATGCCTACATCTACCGCACAAACCACAAATGAAGCATCCACTAACGCGCATGAACTTAGGAGTTTTTCGTATATCAGGGCAGCACTCAGAAACAAGGGAATCCCTAAAAGGGCAAGAAAAATCATCCTCAAATCATGGAGAGATAGTACCAAAAAACAGTACCATTGTTACATTTCCAAATGGATTATTTTCTGTGGGCAAAAAATTAACCCTTTTCAACCCTCGATAAATCAAGTGTTAAAGTTCCTCTCTTTTTTATTTTTTGATAAAGGTCTAAAATACAAAACATTAGGTATAGCCAGATCAGCAATAAGTGTTTTTTTGAAGCTTTGTGGCAATATTGATATTCATCAAAATGAGGAAATTGTTAGATTTATGAAAGGTGCCTTCTTAGAAAGACCAGCTTTACCAAAATACAAGCATATTTGGGATGTTAACAAAGTTCTTTTGTATTTACAAAATTTAGATGATATGACTTTACTACAACTATCGTGTAAATTATCAATGCTCTTTTTATTAGTGACAGCACAACGCTGTCAAACTTTACATTTGATTGAAACTACAGACATAACACTTTCAGAAGATATAGTTACAATCTTTCCAAATCATGTTCTCAAACAAACTAAGCCTGGTAAACATTTGGGGGTTATTAAACTGAAAGCTTTTAATAATAATAAAACCCTATGTGTTGTGCACACACTTAAAGAGTACTTAAGACGTACTCAAAGTCTAAGACAAGGTAAAAAATTGCTCATAAGCACTATGAAACCACATAATCAAGTAGCCAAAAGTACAGTTTCAAGATGGGTTAAACTGACTCTTGTTAAGGCTGGTATTGATGGTAGCTATGGACCTCATAGTACCAGATCAGCCTCCACTTCAAAGGCAAAACTTCAAGGGGTGTCATTAGAAACAATAATAAATACAGCTGGCTGGGCAAACGCCAAAGTTTTTGGCCAGTATTATGACAAGACAATAGAAAATGACACTTATACTTTCCAAGAAGCTATCTTACAAAAAATGTAAATTTGAATTTATAAAAGTATTCACTAATTAATGCATGTTGCTATATAGTGTTCAATGTATATAAGTTTACATTACATTAAACTGCTAGTTTAAAAAATTGTTGTTGTATTATTTTAAAAAATCTACTCTAAAATCTCTATGTGGGGCTCCTTGGGGGAATATGTGGGAGATGAAATTGGAAAATTAAACGAGACTTACCTTAGTAAGGTGAAGTTTAGTTGAAATTTCATCGACCACAATTCCCCCATGGAGCTTCACATACCCTCCCTTACCCTACCCTTTTAATGATTTTCAAAAATAATATCGGGCAAGATGTCTAAGATGTCTTACATCTTGCACGTACTCTAAAGTCTGATAAGTTCCAGCAGATAGCTGCGTCATCTCTCTATGTGAAGCTCCATGGGGGAATTGTGGTCGATGAAATTTCAACTAAACTTCACCTTACTAAGGTAAGTCTCGTTTAATTTTCCAATTATTTTCCTCCAGTGAAATACACAACTTACATTTAACAAAGCCAGGTCTAATATAAATTCGCAGTCAGTAACAGAAATATGGATGGATGGTTGGACTTTTTCTCCTACTAGAATTGTTTGTTTTTATTATTTAAACAAGCGATCAGACATATTTTTTTAATAAAATGAATACTATCACCACCATTTAACGTTGATTGTGGAACTTATTTTCAGCCCATGACTTCTTGTATTTAATGAGAAATTCAACTTTTTTGAGGCTCTCAATGGGGAAAACAGATTTTAATATTAACGTAAATATTGAGGAAATTTCGTTTTAACTTGTTTTTAAGCATAAAATAAAAAGAAAATTTGTTTGTTTGTTGTGTAAGATGTAATTTTATTTCATCTCGTGAACTTTAAAAACAGTATTCTCACTCGTGGCTACGCCACTCGTGAGAATACTGTTTTTAAAGCCCACTTGATGAAATAAAATTTCATCTTACACACAAACAAACAAATATCCTCTATATTTATCACCTTTTGATTTTAATACTTATGGCTTAATTCTCAATTTCCTAGTCTTTTATCAAACACATATTTTAAATTAGTCTTATTTTGAATCCTGGACATACAACATCTTAAGTCTTATTTTAATTTCGGAAGTTAGAACATCTAATAGTCTCATCTAGAATTTCGGACATATAACATTTAGTCTTAACTTAGAAAATAAATAAGAAAACTTAACTTAAGAAAATTCAGGTGCTAGCTGTGGACTATATTATTATTTTATATTTGAGAACTTTAATAAATCACTATAAAGAAATAAATAAAATAACATCAACACTGGACTTTCGTGTTATAAAATACCATCATTTACAAAGAGGATACTGGATGTCACAGATATACTCCAGTATCCCACACTAACCAACCGAGGGTTTCCGTGTAGGGCGATAACTAAGCCAGCGAGTCCAATTCCCCACAAGACCCCAAAGCGAAGGCCCTGCCGGCGACCCTCGGCTACAGATGAACAACCTTAATGTGTAGATGGTAGTAAAGGAAGGAATTTTTGCTGCGACCAAATTTAACAGAATTAAGGCCCTTTGTTAATTTTTTCACTATATACCATATAGAAATTTTGTGAAGGCAACTCCTCTTAAACCGGATGGCAGATTTTGCTTAAACTTCCAGGGATAAACAACCTTAATGTGTAGATGGTAGTAAAGGAGGGAATTTTCGCTGAACAGAATTATGGCCCTTTGTTGATTTTTTTTTTTACTATATACCATATATATGTTGTCAGTGGGAGCATCCGTGTCCTTTGGACACTGTTCTAGTTTACTGTTACTTCTTATTTCTTAAGGGATAAACTTCATACTTCAAATATATGTTACTTATCATCAACCTCATGTTATGTGACAAGGTTAATAACTCTAGCACCAATATTGCAAGAATTATCTCCCCATCAACTTAGGTTTTTTTACTTGAAAAATGTTATTTTTTACTATAACTTTTTAGGATTGGCGTGTGTCGTCCGCATCCGTCCACACTTGTTTGTTAACACTCTAGCGGTCACATTTTTGCCTCAATCATCATCAAACTTTGTCAGGATGCTTGTCTAGGTAATAGCTCGGATGGGTTTGAACATCTAGGATGAAAAACTAGGTCACAGGAGCTAAATATAGAAAAACCTTGTTAACACTCTAGTGGTCACATTTTTGACTCAATCATCATCAAACTTGGTCAGGATGCTTGTTTAGGTAATTGCTCGCATGAGGTCGAACACGGATGTAAAACTAGGTCACAGGAGCTAAAAATAAAAAAAAACCTTGTTAACACTCTAGTGGTCACATTTTTGACTCAATTATCATCAAACTTGGTCAGGATAAGGTTGAACATGGGTTATCTCGGATGAAAAACTCGGTCACAGGAGCTAAAAATAGAAAACCTTATTAACACTCTAGTGTTCACATATTTGACACAATTGTCATCAAACTCGGTCAGGATGCTTGTCAAGGTAATTGCTTGGATAAGTTCAAACATGGGTCATCTCAGATGAAAAACTAGGTCACAGGAGCTAAAAATAGAAAAATCTTGTTAACACTCTAGTGGCTACTGTTTTGATCCAAATATCCTGGAAATTGGTGTGAAAGTTTGTTTTGATGATTTCTAGGTAAAGTTCGATTATAGGTAACCTTGAGTCAAAAACTAGGTCACACCGCCCAAATATGGAAAAACCTTGTTGACACTCTAGCGGTCACATTTTTGACTCAATTATCATCAAACTTGGTCAGGATGCTTGTCTAGGTAATTGCTTGGATGAGTTCGAACATGGGTCACAGGAGCTAAAAATAGGAAAACCTTGTTAACACTCTAGTATCCAAGTATCCTGGAAATTGGTCTGAAAGTTTGTTTTGGTGATTTCTAGATCAAGTTTGAATATGGGTCACCTGGGGTCAATAACTAGGTCACACTGCTCAAATATGGATAATCCTTGTTGACACTCTAGTGGTCACATTTTTGATTCACCTGTCATGAAACTTTGTCAGAATGCTTGTCTAGGTAATTGTTTGGATGAGTTTGATTGGTCAGGTGAGCAATCTAGGGCCATCTTGGCCCTCTTGTTTAGTTTTAACCCTTTCCCCCATGAGCATATTGTGAAAAATGGCCATTTTCACTGAAAAGCCTCCTCTTACAAGTTCAAACTGCTATGAAACTATGAAAAATGCTTCAATACTAATCAAACTTGGCACAAATGTTGACTGGACCATTGCCTTTGTAATAACATGCTCAGTCTTAAATTTCCTATTACCATGGCAACGAGGGGACATCTCAAAATTGCCAAAAATCACTATTTTGCCTCGTTTTTTTCCATCAAAATTTATTTCAAAGTGCTGCAACTTCTCAAGGGATTGAGATAGAGTCAAAGGCTTTTCAGCGTTGGTTACACGTTACCTTATGATTGACCTGGGGTCATTTTAAGCCTCTCACAAGTCCAAAATTTTCTTGGCGATGAGGGGGACTCCGCCCCCCTTCAAACCCCCTGATGTATCTTTTGGATGGGGGGTGGTGCCGAAAAAGTGCTCACTTCTTTTAGCAACATTTCTCAAACGAAAACATGTTTTTGGGGCCCAAATAGGACATATTTTCACTATTTCAGGCCTAAAAAAGGAGGGGGGGGGGTGTCGAAAGTGCGTTGTTTCGTGTTTATATAAGGTAAAGGGTTACTGGTATCTACCTCAAACTTCAAATACTTATTCCTTATCATCAATTACATTTTATGTGACAAGGTTCATAACTCTTGAAGCAATATTTACAGATTTATCTCTCTTTGAAAAAATAAGAAATATTATAACTTATTTACAAAGTGACAGGGTGAGCTTTTGTGATCGCTTTTCGTCCGGCGGGCGTCCATCCATCCGTCGTCCGTCTGTAAACTTTTGCTTCAAATGACATCTCCTCATAAACCACTAAGCCAATTTCATCCAAACTTCACAGGAATGTTCCTTTGGTGGTCACCTTTAAAAATTGTTCAAAGAATTTAATTCCATGCAGAACTCTGGTTGCCTCATGATGGCAACCGAAAGAAAAAACTTTAAATATCTTCTTTTAAAGAACCCAAAGAGCTAGAGCTTAGATATTTGGCATGAAACATCTTCTAATGAGTGTCTACCAAGTTTGTTCAAATAAAAGCCCTTGGGTCAAAATTGGCCCCGCCCCAGGGGGTCATTGATTTTTCCTATATGCATATAGT